TTGAAATTATGATTCTACCCAAATTTGCTAAAAATTCACCTTAGGCCTAACCACTTCATTTTGTGAAACAGATATCAAGACTAAATCTAGTTTTGTGTGTTTATTACAAGTGTTATTGTCCTCCTTGACTAGTTTTGGTGTGAAATATTTTCAGTGCTACTTCTCTACTTACACCAATCTGATAATTTTAAAAATTAAATATAAATTTGAGAGGGAAATCAATTAGTTGCATATTAAATTATATATGTTATATAATACTTTAATCAAAAAATCATCATCGTGTAATATAGTGAGACACACTTGGAAAAAGTACTACTTTATGTCTGACTTTTTCTCCTTTATTAGCACGCCTGGTTTTAGCATTTGCTGGAAAGGGAAATGCATGGCAAACTTTTATATTCTGACTGATTCAAAACTTGATACACAATATAGAACAGCAGTTTATTCTTAAATATGAATTTATTATTAAACATAATATCATTATGCATAATAAAATCACTAATAAATACTTTGCTATTTACACCAATTTTTATATTAATCCATGCTGTGGTTTTAGGGTGTTAAATTATTGCATTTATAAATCATTTATTCAAGGAAGAATTATTTATCAAAATGTAATTGTGGAAAAATAATCTTTTTGAGATTGGTTTCTCACAAATCCTATGACAGCAAACTAGAGGAATATAATTGTCCTTCTCTTTCATTTCTCAACAGCTTTGAGACTGTAGTTTGTTATTTTACCTTGCAGCATTTTTCTAGTGTATACACCAGATATTTCCTCAGCGCACTGCCTGGAGAAGGAAATGCGAATTTAAAAATGAAACCTTCCATTTTACAAAATTGATATAGACCACCCAGTAAACTCAGGTAAGTACTGCAAGTACCCACTTCATGTCATTACAGTATGGATCAGAATGCACAAGGTACCACTTGTGGGTGAAAGTTGCCCCCTACTGTCCCATATGACACTTGCATACAGAATTGTAATTCACAACATTTGAGATTCATTCGTCTACTCTTTCTTTAAAGGACATGTTGTAATTCTAATTTTAGAATTTTATATGGGTGTATGGTGCATACAAGATCAGATATTATAGGAAGAAAATGAGCTCAAAGACTGCACTCATAAATGCCTGTTCTTGTTAAATACTAAAATTAATTGATCTGTTTAGTTTTATTTAGACCTGTACCTGAGTGTGAAGCAGATTTTGCCTTTAATAAATATATGTATATATATTATTGAAAGAATTATGTTTTTCTTTCTTGTTCTTTGCAATGGAAATTTCATGGGTTTCTACACAGTGGGACTCTACCATTTAATGTCACAGTGCTGAATAAAAGGTGAAAAGCCAGTTAAGGAGGGGAAAATAGAGATTACAGACACAAGGAAAGAAATGTGTAACTAACAAAAACGTTACTGAGATAATACTTAGTGTTTCATTCCATATATGTAAAATGTAATTTTGAGGGAATCTCTACCCATGGTAGTGTTATGAACCTTTAAAGGGATTATGTTTAAAATATTTGTTTTCAGGGTCTATTTAGTTGCTGCAGACTACTCCTTTTGGACCTCTTATTTCAATTGTACAATAATTGCAGATTATCATTTCATTTGAGAAATATTTTTGTTTATACAAATAGCTGTAGACATTAAGAAAGAAACAAATCTACGAGTTCTTATTTTTTTTCCACCTTTTCAGAATAATGTAAATTCCCTTTTTGCTAATCCCTTAAATAGTAGTAGTTAGTTCAGCTGAACTACCTATGGATGCTTTATAAGAATTTGTCAGCAGAGCAAATTAGCAGTTCAAAATCCTTACATGCATAAATAATTTAAAGACCGAGGAGAAATTAATCACAAACGCCAAACCTCTGGGAAGCTTGTAAAGCATTGTCCTAGTCACAATGTGAGTCTCTGTCCCTATTTACACTGCACAAATGGTACTTGAAAACAGCTACAGTGGTAACAAAACAATTGCCAATGTTTATGCTTTCAAATTATGTCTGTCAGAACAATTTGCACGTACGGATCTTAAATGATTCAGTAACAAATGCCAAACATAACTTTGTAACAGTAGACAACTGGTATTACACTGATATTATTAACATTTATTACATTATTATTTTTTAAGTTTTAGATACCAGTTTTGTTGGATATTTTTATGAAATTGCAGGGGTTTTTTTCAAATCCAATCTTTGATTTGCAATTTCCAACAAGGAATCCTTGAAGCATTTTACAAACTGTGTAGCGCACAGAAATCATTTTGAAAAGAGAAACAGTAGGGAAAAAAAAACTGCCTGGAGGCAGTTGGTGGGAGTTGAGGATCTGTCAATGGCAAAGTGGCAACACAACTGTACAAGGACTGAGATTGCAGGGATAATGGTGTGTTTTTGAAGGCAACACACATTCTTTTCCTCGGTCCTAGTACCTGTTGCTCCTGTCAGTACTACTTAACTTCTGTAGAGAACCCATTTCTCTTTTTGAGGATTCATTGGAAGTGTCAGGGAGATATCAAACAGGAGGCAGCTTCTGCTTGGATATTGTGCTGTGTTTAAACTTTACATGCCTAAGGGGGACAACAGAAAAAGCTTAAGGAGCAGAAATCCATGGAGGCTTAAATACTTAGAAGTATTAGAAGCCACTTGTGGCTCAGAAATGCCCTGAGCAGAGAAAGGGTAGAGGGTGAAAGAATGTTAGGAGGATGTGTTACTTATTCTTTCCCTGCTGTTGTTATTTAGGCACTCTTAGTGACTTCACAATATAAATTATAAGTCATTTATAGCAGAACATGAAGTTAAGCCTCCTGGTTTTTAGGCCTCCTTCTTCATTGCTCAAAAGAGCTCTTAGTATATAATGTGTTCAGCACAGTCCTACTTGGGGCAACAGTACAGCAGACACTTTTAGAGTGGAAAAAGAACAGAAAGAAATTGGGAACTGACATTATGAAAGCTGAAGTGCAATACAGGTCCTGTATTCTAACAGCTTGAGTTCTCTGTTCTTGAATTTCTTGCAGTCCAGAGGTCATGACCTGTACACAGTCTGAAGTTTGGGGTCACAGTGGAACTTAGCTATTCTGTAACCCAGTGATCAAATTATCACTCTGTGGTTTGCTGACTTGCCACTCTCTCTGTTATTCAGCCACTATTATCATGTCAAGAATTTAGTGTTTACTACACTTTAATATATCTGAAAATACATACTTGAACAAGCAACCACTGTGTTGCACAAGTTTGAACTTCCTCTCATCCAAACTGTGATGTGGTCCCAAAATGTGCAGTTTATCCCAAACATGCCTTGTAAATTTATCTGTGTTAAATTTACAAACAAAACCAACAACAGAACCGTCATATTTATAAGGATCCACAAACAGAGTCAGATCAAGTAACAGATCTGAGTCAGTATTTCTGAAAGAATGTGTAATGATCAACCTAAAAGGCAGACATCTGGCAGTATTGCAGATGTCTTTCTCAGAAAAAGAAGGAAAAAAAGAAAAAAGTACTTTAATTCTAGAAAGTTAAAGAGAAGTTGACCAGATACTTGAAAAGGAGTTATTTCCAAAGTTGTAGGGTTTTGCTTTTTGCAACATTTACTGTTGTAGTTCAGATTTTATCAAATGTGTGAATCACAAAGTCGCTCTTTGATTTCACTTTTATATTGTCACCTTTACATCAAATGTTATTGAGTTCATTGCTCTTCTTGTGGCACCAGCATTGTTACCAGCCTGTGTTATCTTGTCTGTATCTACTGTGTTCCTGTTGATCAAAGTGCCCAGAAGTGAAACCCTACCATTAGTTTTGTATAAAGCTCTGGATATTTGGCACAATAGGTTGTATAAATTTAAAAGCATGTACTAATATGCAGCATAAATGCAAGTGTGATACAGAATATTGACTTTTGTATTTTCCTCTGTATTTTCACCCTGTAGATTTTCAACCTTAACATATGCCTTAGCTGCTATAGCACAGAACCTGACTAAATTCTTCTATTGATTGTGCCTTGGATCAGCATAAAAGCAGCAACAGAGATATTACACTGGGCAATCTGAAGTATCCCAGAGAAAAGGCTGTTTTTTCCTTTCTTTTCAAATGTATGGCAAGGCAAAAATCCATCTGTCAAAGTAATAACAAGGTCCTGTTTAAAGAAACAAATTTCTAGTTGTGTCAATACATTTACTGTAGTTTCCTATTAAACCTTGTTGCAATTTATTTCCTTCTGCTCTAGATGCAACATATTTGACTGAAAAGTAGTTGCAATAATGTGAAGTTTTCTGGAAAGTCATGAATACCTTATGTGAGTGGAAATGTGTTCAGTTGCCTGTTGCTCCACAGCCATTAATCTGATGAATAAAGAGTTTGCACATGGGTTCACTCAGAGAGTTAACATCTGATTTTACGTGGAAATGTTTAAAAGAAAAAGTACAGCATAGCCTGAAGCCTGTTAGATAGACTTTTAGAGATTTATTTAATGCAGTTTCTTGCTTTTGTTCCTATTGTCTACTTAGAAAAGAATGTTGTTTTGAAATGTAAAATGAAATAAGGGGAAACAATTCAAACAGCATTTCTACTGGACAAAAAAATCCTTTACCTCAAACACATACAAAACCTGTCAGTTCTCATTACTCATCTGTTGTTCTACTATTTCATTATCATCTACATTAAATCAGATGATTCCCCACCTTTACACTGGTGCTTTGGAGATAAAATAAAGGGGCAGGAACTATCTTCATTTATCAGCATCAAATAATATCAACATTTGTACTGGGATAGTATTTAGAACAAATAGAATTAGTAGCTATTATTTCTCTCTGTGGAGATAAATGCTTGATGCAGGAGCTACTTAGTCTTAAGTTACAGGGCAATACTGCATCTCTTCTTGATCAAAAAGGGATTCCTGGTGAATTCAGAAAATCTTCAAACATAACGTGTGTCCCTGTTTGCTGCTTCTGTTATTGTTTTTGGATTTATTGACTCTGTTTACCTATTACAGTGCACTGGATATGGATGATTGGAGTAATACTTGACTGGAATTTCCCCTGCTTCTTCCTATAATGTTTTTAGTGACATTGAAGAGACTTGGGACTTGAAGGTAACTCTCATGCAGTCAGAAATTGCATTGCTTTGATAAAGAGCATGTCATACTGTGTTCATATTGTGTACTTGCCTCTAAAAGCAAGACTAGGTGTGCCACTGGAAAATATTTTTGTCTTCTCCAAGTTGTTTATTGAAGATGCTCTTTGCCTCATTTTTTTTAAAATCTAATTTTAGAATATTTTTTGACTTGAAGTGGTAAATTGTCTAAAAGCAAGTTAATTTTGATACAAAAAACTGCATGTATTCATCTCTTCTATGTCCAGTGTCACTGGTCTAAAATCCGATGCTTGCTCATTTCTAAGTGAATTCAATTCCTTAATACAGTTGTAAATACAAAAGTTTTGGTTTGGTTTTGTTTTCTCATTGTTGTTGCTGCTGCTGCTGCTGCTGTTTTTTAGAGTTAAATATGCTAATTCCTACAGATTTTCTAGTGAGAAGTAGCTGGGAACTATGCTCAAATGGCAGCTGAGTGTCCTTAGATTATAAACATAATATTCATAATCTGACCTGTGCTCCATCAAAGAGCCCAGCTGGCCCACGTGCCCTGCAGGATAGGCCAGTACTATTTAGATAGTTCATGACCAAATACAGAGAGCCAGAGGCAAGAAAATGAAAGCTTATTTCTTTATTTTTAGCTGCTCCTACAGATAGCAAATATTTACTATACACGAAAGTCTCACACCCTTCAGACACCACTTGGAATGTTTGGCTGTGACTTGTCTTCTAAGAAGATTCCATAGAAAGCTTTCCTTTTCTTGCCAAATCTTCCTGTATTGGAACAAAGCTTGTTTCAGAGCAGGCTTTGCCTTCATTAAGCTTGGTTATTAACTTTGGAAGATTACAAAAAGATACAGGCTGTGTAAAAAAGGGGCTTTGTTGGCCTGCTGGAGGGTGAAAAACAGAGCCGCAGATTGAATAAGAGTGGAGAGTAAAATCAAACTGTGAAATGAAGTGTTGGTAGGGGAAAGGCCTCTAAGAGCTGCAGTCACATGTTATAGTGCAATCTTTTAATAAGATGATGTCTCCAAAATGAGTTATTCCAAATGGGTCATCACTGAATTGAGATGAAATTAATCCTATTATATTTCTTTACCTTGTGTCTGAGAGATATAGCAATAGGTACATATGCTCAGGATGTATTTTTAAATGGGACATTGACACTTATCAGCTGCCTGAGAAAGCTTCTATCTCTGCTCCCTTGATTGATAGGAAAATATGCTGCTTGCAGATCATACCCTGTTCTAGTCTGAAACTGAATTTCCTTAAACTTGACTTTCCAGAAATTAAATGCTCTCGAATGGATAAAACCAGTGTATTTAAGGAGCATTTTGATGAAGTAAATTCTTTAACATCCTGATGTATATTGACCAGAACAATGGAGGCATATATGCCCTGGAGTTAATGCATGGATGTGTGTGGCAGATGCAAGGCCTGCAGATGGATGTTAAAATCCACATCAAGGCTTGTATCAACTCAGCATGATACAGCAATTGAGAATGGCTGTTTGTAGAGCTCTGGTCAGCATTAGTAAAAAAAGAAAGCAGGGTTTGCATTCCACAGTGGTGGTGTAAGTCAGCCTGTGTAAACCTTCCTTCATGTGGGTGCACATCATTCTTCAGGCACATCCTTGGTTTAGACTAACTGTGACTCACATGGATAATGTGTTAATCTGACAGCTAATGTTGCTAAAAAATGGATTAACTACTATGTACACGACAGAAAATATCTATCAAAAAGCATGATTTTGCTTTTCAAATACTCTGTTCCAGTGCACTCCTCCTTTGTTCAAGGGGGTGATCTGCTCATCAAAAATGGTTTATACTCGCTTTTACTTCTTGAAGAAAGGTGGCTCCTTATTGCCATTTTTATTAGAAAACTTTTTGAGTTTTTTTCTCCCTGGTAATTTTTGTTGACATTTTCATATAATCACAGTTAACTATCTTGCCCACAAAGCTACTGAGGATGCAAAACCATCTGTGAACCATGGCCTGCAGCTAAATACTTCCCAAATCAGGATTAGCAGCCTCTGTTTTGTTTTGTTGTTTATTTTTTTTTCCCAATTAAAAAAATACATGTGTCCTTAAAGAGAGGATAGATTTCAATTAACTGAAAATTATTAGCTTGGTCTGTAATTAAATGTGAAAATAATTAAATCTTACTTTCAGAAGACACTAACTTCTGCAGCGTATTCTTCCTAACAGGCTCTGAAGTAACGTGTCAAGAGTCTCACAAAACACATTATAAAATGGGAATGGGGTAAAGGTCATTCCACCTGCTGTGGCCATACTAAAACTAGTCTTGTTGATCCAACTGAATTATATAAAAAAGGTAGTTTAGGGCAAAAGGTTGATAACAATACTGAGATATTTACCTTGTATTCTTGGAAGCAGCAGTATAGATAACTACACATAGTCACCCAAAAGAGTGAATGTAATTAAAGAGATTTAATTGACAAAAAGAGATTTGTCTTCATGACTAACATTCAAAACTTTCATCTTCTAGAGCTATTAAAAAAAAAAAAAAGAAAAAGTTTCTAAGGTTTATAATTTATCTATATTTATCATATAGATAAATTATAAAACTCAGAATCTGTTATACAAAGTATTGGAGGTAGCTGTTGCAACACTTTTATTTTATTGCAACTGCTTCTGTTGCAGTAGTTTCTAAAGTGAAAATAAATCCCAGCTTAAATTTTCTGTTATCTTTTCCAGTAAATACTGCAGTGTATTGGTTGGCATTTTGGCCATCAGAAGCTTTCTTGCACAAGGCCGGGCACATCCATGTGTTTGGAAATTTGCTTAAGTATTCACTGCCAAGCAGGGTTTTTCTTCTTCAATAGTGATCAGATATTATTTTGACTGTGTGTGGAAATGTGCAGTAAATCAGTGATGGATTTTTCCATATGTCTTGCATAAAATCCAAAAGTGGTTTATCTAATGTAAGCCAGAACACCAGAAAACAAATTATAAAGTCATATATTAAAAAAGGCCTTAGCAGAGTTATGAAATAAATAGATAACATAACATGTGGATCTTAATAAAATGAACTGTTTTAGTTAGAGGATTCTTTTATTTGGCTAATGAATTTCTCGAAACAGGAGATTATCTTGTTACACCTAATTATGTAACATTTTTGCTCCAGGGTTTAAATGCTGCAGATAAGTGATTCAGTCTGGGGGTCAACAAGTACCCAAAGATGCTGCAGGTAAATCCAGTTTCCTTACTTTTCATATGTGGTCCATGTCCTGACAAAGCTCAAATAACTGCTCTGAAGCACTGGAGCTCTAAGGGGAGTTGTCTGAACTATGTTGTGCTGGTTTAAATATATTGATTCTGTCACCACAGGACACATCTAACCTATTTTATTCATTTTCTCTCTGCTTATTTCTGTATTCATCTTTATAAAGAGAGAGAGTTAAATAGATCTCTTGATGTTAAACAGTATCTACATCTATTAGACAGTATTGTATAAGTGATTACAGATTAAACCAATAAATAGCTTGTGCAAGAATTTGTTGGGCATTTTTTGGACAGGTTAGCTTTTAAAAGCAACTTGATTTTATTTTAATCAAGTAGAATCTGAAAAACTGTATTTAAATGGAACACATAGACATCTTTGATATTTCATACAATATAGCTTGGAGCATAGTTCAGCATCTGGATAGACTAAATTTAATGTAATTCATCTGTACAGACTGCTTTTCCTTGAGTTAAAAAAAAAGAAATCATATGTCAAAATTACCAGATACATCTGTCTTATGACTGAATAAAGAAATTAAAGAAGCTAAAAAGAGGTATTATCAGTCATTTAGGGAAATTTTCTGAGTGATGAGAAAATAACTTTTAGCTCCTTGTTTTTTTAAAAAACCTGTGTCCCTATAGACAATTTTGTCTTTTATAAATGGCTACAAAAAAGTTGATTCCAAAACAAGGCAAATTAACAAAATTTAGCTGCAAATCAGTATAGTATGTTCTTAATCTTAAGTACACTTACAGTCCAAGTCCAACTGAAATAAACAATTTATAATAAATCAGATATATCGTATTTATCTTCTGATAATCCATTACCATGCAATAACCCTAGATATTCCCAAGAGCTTTTAGTATTAACATAACATGTTAATTGAATCAGCAAATAATTTTCAATCTGAAAATCATCTTCATGGCAATTACTGATATTAAATATACAATTTATATGAAATGCAAAGCATGTGTAATTGACCCAACGAAACAGTAGTTTGAATTCTAGTTTATATTCAACTTCTATGTTTATATTCAGTGTATGTGTATTGAACCTGGAAATACTGGCTGGTTCAAACTGGGATACCTGTCCCATTACTACATAAGATGACATGAACTGGTAATTGTAAAACTTCACTGCACAATCAGAAATTCACTTTCATGAACATGTGCTAAAAAAATTATTTTTTGATGATTGTGCTTGTAAAACTGTGAGTTTCACACATGCTCACCAGAAGTTAACCTCAGTCTCAAAATAAACTCCTGTACCTATTCATTTCACATAAATTAAGGGATATAAAATATTTGTAATTGATAGTCATCTTTCAAATCACCTGTGCTTTGTATGTATTTGAGTGTTGTTCAGGAAGCTATACCATGTGAATATAGAAGATAATACACAGGCTTGTAATTACAGTTAAGCTGTGAACTTTCAGAGGCAGTGAAGTGACCCAACGCCATTCTAAAGTGCAGCACAGGGTCCCTATTTCTACTTTCTACCTACAAGTTGTGCTGCTCTTTCCCTTTTAGCTCTCAGACTCTCCAGAGTGACCTTTGGCCATGTGAACTTTCTGAGATGCAGCTTTTAAAACCAGTGAGAGTTGCCAACTATGATCTAAAATTAAAGTTTTCACTAACATTGAAAAAAAAAATAATAATAATAAGTAGTAGTGTTCTAAAACTGTTTGTGGTTTTTCCAGTTCACCCTCTTCTGTTCTGTTCTGGATGCCAAATGCCAACCCAATACCAATAGTCCTTGTATATATATTTTAACTTCCAGAACATCAGTGATAACAGTTGTTAAAGCTTGAAACAGACAAAGTATCTTGAGAACTGTGAAAGAATGTATTGTTTTGATATTTTTCCTTATTTGTTTTGTTTTGCTGCAAGTAATCAAGAAATACTTTATTTTTTAAACAAGTGATTTACAGGAAGGAAAGGATTAATTATACTGATGAACCCTGTATTGTTAGCCACAGTAATAACTGTAGTCATATTTTACTTCTATAAATATCTCCTCTTTTATCTAACATCTTTCAGTCAGATGGTGCTGAGATCCCTCCTTCTTCACTAAGATTCCTACAATCCATATTTCAGCAGTATGTTTTATATGTAATACAATAAAATCCACAAAATGTGCTGTTGCCTCCCTTTTTAGTACAGTAGCATCCAGTTATGAAAGGAATAATGGATGCAGGGGATGAATAAGACTAGTCAGGTTTGGATTTCATTTTCTAAATTAATTCAGCTGGCCTGACAGCCCTAGAGGTGCCCTTTAGCAGAGAAATTGTTAGAGAAAGTTAGATTAGGTGATAATTGCAGGACAGAATAAAAGTTGAACAACTGCTTTTCTCTCTTTCTGGATTTTTGAGGAGAGCTGAATCAGTTTGGCATATTGAGAAACCAGAAAAACAGTGGGGCTCTCACTTTGTTTGTCCTGAAAATTAAAATCTCAATAAGTAAAAATACTGAAAAGCCTCTAAATATATTCTATGAAATTCCAAACTTGCATTGCCAAGAGGGTATTTACTTATGTTAGGGCTCCATCTACAGTCATGAGGAAGCATATCTTACCATCGATGGCAGCTCTCTCAGCTTCTGTGGCTTCATTGATTCACCATGTTTACCACGATAAACTCTCTCCTTTTATTGAGGTCAGCACACTTCAAGCTCTTTGCAGCCACGGTTAAAGTATCTGATCTCTAATTATTTCCAGTAAAGAAGCAGATAAGGTTACATTGACTATATGTGCCAGTATTCCTGTAGGGTTGGCTTAAATTTCAAGTAATTTTATTTTCGGAAGGTTAGCAGGCCCAGACAACATCATCATAGAATGGCACTCACACATTTTTAAAATTGGTAGGATTTTTGCCACCTCACTGTTTCAGTTTGAGAGGCTCTTCAAGAACATCATTCCTCAGATGATGAACACTATCCCAGTACTCACAGTCTAAATGTATTAATGGGCTTCTGGTATCCTTTTCGTTTTAAGCCACCACTGACCTTGAGTTAAAATAGACTGGATGTAATAATCCTCAGCCATGATTTCTGATAACATATAGAAACAGTTATGGTACTACAATGTAACTAAATAACTCAAACAGTGCTCTTTTATTTGGTACTTTTTGCCATCAAAATATGAATTGGAATTTGACTTGGGTCTTCCATTTCTTTGGAACAGTCAAGCAGAGGTGAAGACAGTCACTTGTGAGGAATATGGAAGCTGAGCAGTAAGTGGAGGTGTGTTTATTTCTTTACTACTGTCCATATGCTAATCTATTGAATAATTAATCTTATGTGAGTGAAATCAAGCAAACAAAACCACCCAAATCTTGTCCTTCACTTATAGAATAAGTAGAAGTGGGTAGTAAATCAGGGGAAATATTTAAATAACAAAAATAGCAATAAAAAGGTCTAAACCTGGGACAATACATAGCACTGACATGGTTTACTGGAAGTCTCACCCTTAAGCAAATAGACACATAAAGTGGATGAGACAAAGCTTAGAGGTACAAAAATCAGTCTCACAGTTTTTTATATAACATTAATGTGTACCAATGACAGTTTAGCTACCAACTGCATAATAGAAGCTAAGAAAGGCATGGACTAGAAGGTATTTGCTTGAGCATGACTAAGCATATTAAAAAATGTATTGTTAAAGAATGTGACAACTGTAGTAACAAAGGTTAACACTGAACTTTCTGTTTAGAAAAGGAAAACTAAGTAACTGAAATAATGGATAAATAATTATTTGGGGGTTTTTTTTAATAGTTAAGCACTTTTTTAAAAAGTAGCACACAGGAGAAATCCATTTCTCAATTTTTTTTTCTGAAACAAAGCTCACGCAAAGTGAATGCTTTCTCAACATCCATTTGCAGCAACTCTCCATGCAGCTGCAGAAGTCTTGGCAATAGCTGTTGATGGAGGGCAAATCTGGGCTCTTACTTCCAGTACCTCAAGAGCAGTGAGATGCACTGCCTTCCCATTTACTGGAGGGCAGTGTACAGCAGGAGAATGCAGGGGTGATTAGGTGGAGCAGATGATGGTACCCTCTGGTAATCTGCATGTCAAAACTTTTATTTGCTAATGTTCTTGTGAATATGAAACAGGAATGAGTGTGTTTCTGTTTCCTGAATGTTTGTGGGATGTAAGAAATATAAAGGAAAAAAACAAGAGTTGCAAAACCATAACAAGCAGCTCTAGCAGATGCTGATAGAGGAATATATTGCAAAGAAAAAAGTGTTAGATGTTGGCACAAAAATATTTCTCTAGACTAGTTTCATTGCAGTGGTCCCCACTTAAATGAGGAATAGCAAAATTATTAAAGAAACTATCCTGTTAAAGTAAGGACTAGTGCTCCAAATCAGCAAGACTGAGCTAATGGAAGTCTGAAAGTTATCTCACCATTTGCCAGTAGGGGGAAGGGATACTTCTGTACAGTTCTCAGAGAGGCATAAAAAGCACCACGGCTCGACTGAAGAAAAGGTTTGCCATACTGGTATTTTGTGAACTATAGGAAGTTCAGTAAAATAATTTTGAAGGAGGTTTCTGTTGGAGTTTGGTTTGGGTTTTTTTAATTCTTGAGTAGACAACATCCTTAACACTGTGGCAGGTTTCTCCTGCTCTTCTGCAGTGTATTATAATAAAGATACTAGCAAATAGAAGAAAAGGTGGAAGACAAGAAAGAGCCTATTAGAGAAGGGCAAGGTCTATGGTCATTTAAAGTGATGGCTTTTAGTTATTGTGTTGTTGTGACACTGCATTTTATGGGCTTACATTGTTACACTCTTTTTTTTTCAGCCTACCTAAAATTTAGTTTGATGCACGCAAAATTTTGATGAGCAGAAACCAATAAATTTAAACACAGTAGCCTTACAGTATGAATTTAAAATTCAATCCAAAGAAATGTGACTTGTTTTAAAACAAGTCAATTGTTTTGAGCATACAATCAGTGAGGAGAAATTTTCACAATGAAAAGAAAGCTGAAGCTGTCCAATACTTGCCAACTCTTTGGATGCTCACATATGTTCAGAATTTTTAGGCCTCCTATTACAAAAAGTTCATTTGTAGGTTGGCCAGAACAGCAAAACCACTACATAAGTTGGGCACAGAAAGGAAACTATTTCAGTGATCAGCAGTGTGTGATTTAGCATTCTGAGAGTCAAAGAGGCTCTTGTGATTGCTCCTGTTTTAGTCTCTGTGTGTTTCAAAACCCCTTTCATATTGTGCACAGCTGCTAACACTTACAGTTTGGGGATAGTGTTGACACAGGAACACAAAGGGGTTGAGATATTGCTTATTGCAGGTCAGGGGGAGGACACGGAGGGGGGGTAGGAGTTTTCCAAAGCAAAATTCTTGCAAAACTAACTCGTGACTATGGCTAAGGAGTATTTTCTTTGTTGCAAATTTATGATCAGGGCAGACCATGCATCTCATTCAATGGTTCTGTAGATTCAGGTATTCTGAGGGAAACTTGCCAAGCAGTTACAGATCCACCACACTGTGCCAAAAACTGGAACACAGTCATGTCAATGCTACTGTTGCATTCATATAGGATTTGGATTGCTAGATGCAAGTATTTCCATGAACAGGAATGAGTGACCTTTGTAAAAAGGAAAAAAAAAAAAAAGCCTTTTCTATTCTAGACCCATGAGTTGCTGAAACTTAAAGTAGAACATTGAAAATTGTGCTACCTATGAAACTGTTTACTTGGGAAAGTATCTTTTTGAGCTATCACAATATATTGTTCACAATGTAAAATATGAATTATTCTACAGGAGATGAAAACCAGTTGATGATGACCAGGATAGGGCATATCTGTGCAGATGAACATGGTTGATAGGTCTGATCACAGGACATATGGAAAGATGAACAGGATCTGACCCCCCTAAATGTGGGCTCATCTTAACTGTGCTCTTTAGAGCTCCCCAGCAATGGGTACCTGTAACATCAGGCTGTACTTAATCTTTTGGGAAAAAGGAGATAACATCATGATTTTTAGGCTGCTGGGCTGCAGAAACCTTGGCATTATGCACATTATGCTTGGACCTGGCAGAGGTTCTCACAGTCTAGCAAATCTGGACACTTCTGCAAAACGGCCCCTAAGAAACCAAGGAGAACCTGGTTGAGCTTGGGCTGAGGTTAAAGACTTAAATTGTTTTAGTAAGTTTGTCAGGCTCTCTAGCCTTTCCAGAAAGACAAGTTTTTTGCAAAGGGTCTCAGATCAGGAATTTAACGAAACCTTGATGGATCACTGTTTGGTGGAGTCATTTCTTGCTAGAGAGAGGAAATCAAGAGTGCTTAGGCCACTAGGTTAAACATAACCTTTGCAAATACCCTCAAGAGATTTCATACAGTGTGTGGTAGTGAACTGAAAAAATACTGTTCACATGGATGAAGCTCCTAAAAAGGAAAGTAAGTTATTTGGATTACGTGTAAAACCTGTAGATAAAAATCACATTTATTTCTGCAAGAATTAAAACCCTCCAGCAGGTAAGGACACTTAACTGTACTCTTTACAATGTTTCCAAGCATGATTTTACAATCCTAGGAGAAAGAAAAGCAGGACTTCTTTGAGGAAGCCAATAAAATACTAATACATATATATAAGAGGTAATGGATGGGATACATTTGGTCCCAAGACTTTATTCTGAGTTGTTCATAAGGAATAGATGATGTGATAACAAGGATTTCAGTAAAATTGCCTCAATATAACGATTATGTGATGTGCTGACTAACAAAGACTTTGAAGCAAGAAGCAAAGAAACAATTTCCATCTGTTCAAAACTGTTGAGCATTCTTTGTAAATACACAGGATTAAAGGGAAAAAACACCTGATTTTGGCATCTGTTTCTTTTCAAATGGAAACAAACGGAGGTTAGTAAACTTTTGGTTGTTGGAGCAGTTTTGGTGGGTTTTTTTGCTTGTGCATTTTTATAGAACTGGGGTTAAAAAAAGGGGGTAATAGTATGTCCAATAGGAACATCTTGGAACTGTGTTCATAAAGAACTTGAAGTCCTATCCAAAGCATGTGTTTTTCTGTAAAAGTCAGAAGAGGTGAAAAAAAACCCAAAACTCCGAAGCTAAAGAAATTTTGTACAAAATTAACAAGTTGGGATTCTTCAGCTGGCAAACAGTGAATTGCCTGTACCCTCCAGGCTGTTCTTACACTGTGTGACAGTCACTGCACAGAGCTGCAGTTTCACCTGCTCACTGTGATACAGGTGAGATCTTTGCAAATCCTTTCTCCTCCAGCTTTATTTCTGTGAAAATTCCACATCCCCTAAACTGTTGTTAATATTTAGCTTGTGGTAACTCTGATTTTAATGCTAAACTATGCCTCTAGATTACTTAGTTTTACCACTCACTGAAAATTGAGAGGCTGGAGTTGGAAAAGTAGGAAAACTTTTATTTCTTGGGGTGTCTTGCTGATTTTAATCACCATCAAAATTACGCTTCAGCCACCATAACTCAAAACAATCTACATTGTCACCATCAGAGTGCAAATCAACCATCTGAAGATAATGTTTAAGGCCTTGACATGTAAGGTGTTTGACTGGACTTTCTCCCCACTCTGCAAAGCATCCAGGGAACTGCTGCTGTGCACATGCATTGAGAAAAGTCTCGTGAGCAAGGCCAGTCCTTGACTTTGTCTCTTCTTTCATCTCCTTTCATGACCTGTTGTCTTGAAGTGCTGACCTGCCAAGCTCAATTCAAGTTATTTGCAGCTTTTTAGATGTTTACCAGATAAGTTGTATTTGCCCTTATTGGCTTGTCCTCTGCAAGGAAATAAATCACTCAGAAACTGATAGAGATGGGGGAACATCTCTATTAAAACATTGCAGGTGTAAAAGCATTATAATGTAGAGCCTTCAACCAGAATTAAAGCAGTTGCATGTTTTGGCTTGATATTATTACTTTCTATATATATTGATACCATAGTGGAAGCACAATTTTAGCATGCATGTGTACTTCTCACTAGTTTCCAGTCAAATGTATTACAGATTTAATTGTAACTTATCTTTTCTAGTTAAATATATATATAGAAAATAAAGGGAACAAAGGTTTACAATGACTGAAACCTGCTAGCAGTGGCAGGTAGAGATACCAAGTAAAATGTGAACATTTTGAACTGTGCTTTTCAGCAAACAGAAGTAAGTTCTGATTTTAATGCTGCATATTCTATCTGTTTTGTTCTGTGGTTAGTTTTTAGTTGGCTTGAAG